AGTGTGCTTGGCATCCCACAGATGTCGCTGAGCTTAACAAAATTCTGGGCTCTTACAATTCTCATGGGGATTATAAAGAAGCCATCAATTCTCTCTTGCTGGAGCACCAACCCAATCTGTTCTAGTCCAGTGTACTCTCAAACCATGTCTAGAGCAAGATATGAGCTGCTGCTGAGATACTTACATTTCAATGACAATACCCAATATGATAGGCTTCATAAAATACACCCACTGGTAGACCATCTTCAGCACAAATTTAGTGAAATTTATACTCCTCAAAAAAATGTATCTATTGATGAATCGTTAATGAAATATAAAGGGAGATTAGGATTCAAACAATACATCCTCTCAAAGCGCTTTAGGTATGACGTAAAATTCTACAAACTGTGCGAGAGTGAAAGTGGCTATACATTTGCCTTTCGTATATATGAGGGGAAAGATGGTCAACTGGACCCTCCTGGCTGTACTGACTCTCTGGGGACAAGCGGGAAACTTGTTTTTGACTTTCTGATCCCCTTGTTCAATAAGGGTTACCACTTTTATGTGGACAATTTTTATAGCATTGTCCGTTTGTTTCAAACTCTTTAGGGTTTCTAGAAACTGGCCTGTGGCAGTGTGAGAAGATATGCCAAGGATTTCTCCAGACCTTTTATAGAGGCCAAATAAAAAAAAGTGAATGTAAAGGTCTGCACAAAGCTAAAGTGCTTGCAATAAAATTTAAGGACAGGAAGGATGTTAATATACTAACCACCATCCATGACGAAAGCATGTCAGATGTCACTGTCCGAGGCAGAGTACAGACCAAACCTGTTTGCATCAGGGCTTTAAAATGCACATGGGGGTGTTGATTTGGCTGATCAGCTGATGCAGCCATATCTTATCTTAAGAAAGACAAAAGCCTGGTATAAAAAGGTGGCTATCTACCTGATGCAAGTAGCAACACATAATTCATTTTTACTCTTTAAAAAAATGAATCCAGAAAGAACAACCTTTCTCCAGTTTTAGTTCAAGCTGATTTCCACAATAATTTATGGAGATGGTCAAGTTCCAACAACGGTGCCAGAGGAGTCCAGACATTTTATTTTTAAGATACCGCCAACTGCAAAAAAAACAAATCCCCTGAAATGTTGCTGGGTCTGTTATAAAAAAGGGAAAAGGACAGACACCCCTTTGCACAGTTTTTTTTTCTTTTGAAAGCAGCTAATTTTAGCTAGTCAGTTTCCTTCCCCAAAATCTCCAGTTACATTCTTTTTGCAGGAGTTAGTTTAAAGAATGCTGCTAAAGGTGCATTTGATACCTGCACATTTGGTTAAAAAAGTTTTATGGTAGTAACATATAACTGGCTGGCCAAAACCAGATGACGTGTGCATAAAAAGCAGAATTCAAAAATTACCACCATGCACATTCTCTGAAATTTGTTTAGCACAATGGTTGGGGGAAGGATGTGAAAACACCTCATATACAATACCCTGGAATGTCTACTTTATAAAAATATAAACTTTCATGATGTTAACATTAACGGGAGGATGCAAAAATATGCCAAACTGAAGATAAGCCAAGCATACCTATATATCAAGTTAAAAAACTGATATGTACAAGTCTCGATTGTGGCCTTTTAGCCCCCAAACAACCCAGCAAACCTATGCATGGGTGATATCACTGTACTCAGGAGATGTTGCTGAACACATATTGGGGTGTTGTTCGGCAGTGATACATAACACGATCTGTTAATTCATGCCTAAAGTACAATGTATGTGTAAAAAAACACGAAGAAAATTACTACCCAAAAGTTTGCCAAAGGCTGGTGGTAGAATTATTGCATGAAAAGTATTAAACTACCACCATTTAAAATACCCTGAGTTGTCTACTTTTCAAAAATATATGGTTTGGTGGGGGTAAAATACATTGGCCCAAAAAGGACAGGGGCGCCGGTTTACTACATGTCAAAATTCCAAGTTAAAAAATGGATATGCGCACATGCCAAATGTGGCCTTTTAGCCCCCAAACAATCTGACAAGCCTATGCATGGGTGGTATCACTGTACTCAGGAGATGTTGCTGAACACATATTGGCATGTTGTTTGGCAGTGACACATAACACAATCTGTTAATTCATGCCTAAAGTACAATGTGTGTGAAAACCCCGCACAAAAAATGACTACCTAAATGTTTGACAAAGTCTGGTGGTAGAATTAGTGCATGGAAAGTGTTAAAAAAACACCATTTGAAATACCCTAGGGTGTCTACTTTCCAAAAATATATGGTTTGGTGGGGTAAAATACATTGGCCGGCCTTACAAATGTCCCAAGTAGGACATGTGTGCAGGTTGACTACATGCAGTGGCGTACTAAGGGGGGGCGGGCGGGGCGGCTCGCCCCGGGTGCCTCTGACTATGGGGGTGCCATGACTTCCAGTGTCATGTGTCAACCCCCCCGGCCCCAATCATCACGCTGCGCATAGCCGCAGCAGCAGCACCTTTGCGGAGGCTGAGAAGGGGGAGGAGTTTGCGGGACGCGGAGTGATGATGCCGTACGCAGGCCGCCGTCAGTCCGCCTTCACGGATCTTCAGCGCAAGGATCCAGTGGTCGGAAGGCATCATTAAAACGTGAGTAGTAATTTATGTAATGTTATTAATTTATGTGTTTATGTAATTTATGTGATGTTATTAAATTAATTAAAAGGGGGGTGTATAAATATGGTGGGGTGTAGTAATTATGGTGGGGTGTATTAATTATGGGGGGATGGATTAATTATGGGAGGTATTAATTATGGGGGTGGATTAATTATGGGGTGGATTAATTATGAGGGGTGTATTAATTATGGTGGGGTGTATTAATTATGGGGGTGTATTAATTATGGGGTGGATTTCTTAATTATGGGGGGTGGGTGGATAATTATTGGGGTGGATTAATTATGGGGGGTGGTTAATTATTAGGGGTGGATTAATTATAGGGGTGGATTAATTATGGGGGTGGATTAATTAGGGGTGGAGTGGATTAATTATGGGGGGTGTATTAATTATAGGGGGTGGATTAATTATAGGGGGGTGTATTAATTATGGGGGGTGGATTAATTATGGGATTAATTATGGGGTGGATTAATTAAGGGGGTGGATTAATTAGTGTGGATTAATTAAGGGTGGGGTGGATTAACATGGGGGTATTAAGGGGGGATGGATTAATTATGGGGGGATGGGGGTGGATTAATAAAGTTATAATTATGGGGTGGATGGGTGGATTAATTATGGGGTGGATTAATTATGGGGGTGGATTAATTATGGGGGAGTGTCTAGTGTATTAATTATGGGGTGGATTAATTATAGGGGTGGATTAATTATGGGGGTGGATTAGTTAAGGGGGTGTATTAATTATGGGGGTGTATTAATTATGGGGGTTGTATTAATTATGGGGGTTGATTAATTATGGGGGGTGGATTAATTATGGGGGGTGGATTAATTAAAGGTTGGTGGATTAATTATGGGGGGTGTATGAATTATGGCGGGTGGATTAATTATGAGGGGTGGATTAATTAGTGTGGATTAATTAAGGGTGTGTGCATCAATTAAGGAGGGCGTATCAATTAAGGGGGTGTGGATTAATTAGTGTGGATTAATTAAGGGGGTGTGAATTAATTAAGGAGTGTGGATTAATTAAGGGGGGTGTGGATTAAGGGGGTGGATTAATTAAGGGGTGTGGATTAATTAAAGGGGGGTGGATTAATTAATGGGGGTGCAGGTTTTTTTTTAATTAATGGGTTGTAGTATTTTATTAAGGGAGGATGTGCACTGCAGATTTTTGTTAAGGGGATGGGCAGGGTTTTAAGGGGGGGGGTGCAGGTTTTTTGTTATTAAAAGGGTTTGTGCAAGTTTTTGTTTTTTATTAAGGGGGTGTGCAGGGTTTTTTATTAAGGTGGTTGTGCATGGTTTCTGTTTTTTATTAAGGGGGTGTGCATTGGTTTTGTTTTTTTTAATTAAGGGGGTGTGCAGGGTTTTTATGTGTAGGGAGTGTATGAAATTTATGTGATCAGTGTGCAGGGTTTTTATATGAAGGCCGAAGGGCAGGGGTTTTCTAGAAGGGGTGAGACAAGCGGCTTTGTAGAAAGGGGCAGAGCAGGAGTTTTCTAGAAGTTTCTCACCTGCCCCTTTCTACAAAAGCACTGGTCTTCCCCCTTCTACAAAACTGGCGCATTTATACAAAACCTCTGCCCTGGCCCCCTTCTACAAAACCTCTGCCCTAGCCGCTACATCTTTTGAACCCAAATCCTTTTCCTATGCTGTTTCTAAGGATCGGCTCAATGAAGTGGTCTGGGTGCCAGGTCCCTCTAGTTTTAACCCTGCAGCTGAAAACAGAGCAGTTTCAGAGATGTTTCACTGAGGGTTAATCCAGCCTCTAGTGGCTGTCTCACTGACAGCCGCTAGAGGCGCTTCCGCAATTCTCACTGAAAACTCACTGTGAGAAGACGCTGGACATCTATAGGAAAGCACTGAGTATTGCGCATTCGGATCTGACGTCGGCAGGGGGAGGAGAGGTCACCAGCGCCGAGGGAGCCCGACGCTGGAGAAAGGTAAGTGGCTGAATGGGTTTAAAGGGGTTAAAACCCCTTCAGCCATTTATCTTAATCCAGTGCTGGGCTCCCTCAGCGCTGGTGAACTCTCCTCCCCCGCCGACATCAGCTCCCGAGTGGAGCCGAATGCACATGCGTGGCAAGAGCCGTGCGCGCGCATTCAAATAGTCCATAGGAAAGCATTTCTCAATGCTTTCCTATGGACGTTCTGCAAGCTGGATGCGATTTTTGCATCTGGAGGGTTAAAATCTGGGGGAGCTGGCACCCAAACCACTTCGTTGAGCTGAAGTGGTCTGGGTGACTATAGTGTCTCTTTAAATACCCTGGGTTGTCTACTTTTACAAATGGTATAGCAAGATGGGAAATATAAGACAGATATCGCACTAGCGAACCCTAGAGCCAAAATAAATTTAGTATATTTCTGCAGAAAACACCAATATGAAGCGAATTCGACCAAGCGGGTCTCAGCAACGAAAAATTAAGAAGGCAAAAGAAAAGTCAGCTGAGGCGATGTCTGGATCAATTTTAAAATATGTTGCACCTTCAACATCTACCGCAGTAGGAGAAAGCGCTGAAGACGTTCAGTCTGTTGAATCCAGAGGTGAAATGCCTGAAGTATCTTCTCAAGAAGCTTCATATGTGAAAGCGCAAGAATTGGAGAAGATCATTTTATCTTCAAGCGGTGAAAGTGATGTAGATGAAGGCGATGCCAGCAGAAGCCTGCATCAGCAAGACTCTGATGATGATGATCATGATGATGATGAAGAAGAAGAGGAGACTGTTCGACTGTCAGTTTATTCTGATGTTGCTGCTTGGCCAGTTCCAGTTCCAAATGTTTTAAGAGTGGACCTTATTAAGAGGGGAAGTGAACCTTTCCAAAATAGAGATGGGCCATCAGTCCTGTTGAAAGGCAAGGAGAGAAATCAAAAGGAAGAGTCGACAGTTGACCACTGCATGGTTCTATAAGGCTCTGCCTAATGTCGAAACAATTCTTAGAACGTGGATGGTGTACTCTCCATCAAAACAAAGTTTGTTTTGTTTTTGCTGCAGACATTTTGCTGTTGATGACAAAGTAACAGGGGCATCCAGTTTTGTTACTGGGTTTCAATTGTGGTGGAAGCTGAACCCAAAGGTGTCTGATCATGAGGCTCCTGAGCAGCATCTTACATGCTTGGAGAAATGGAAGACCTTGAGAGCAGGATTGAAGCTACAAAAATGCATTGATCATGTCCATCAAACAACAGTGGACAGAGAGAAAAGGAAATGGAGGGATATTTTGCATCACCTTTTGGATGTAACTTTGTTTATGGCTCACCAGAATCTTCCCTTTCGTGGTCATAGAGAGACCATGTCATCCGCAAACAAAGGCAACTTCCTCGAATTGGTAGAATTGCTCTCAAACTATGATCCCATTTTAAAGGAACATTTCATGAGGCTGAAACATGCTGTTGCATCTGGAAAGAGAATGACTTCCTATTTCTCTCCAAAAAATCAGAACAAATTAATTTGTCTTTTGGGAAATCATGTGAAGGACAAAATAGTGGCTGATATCAAGAAAGCAAAGTACTTTGGGATTCTTTTTGACAGCACCCCTGATGTGTCCCACACTGATCAGATGTGTGAAGTGATCAGATATGTTCATATTGAAGGGGACCATGTTGAAGTAAAGGAATCATTCTTGGGCTTCTTTCCTGTTGCTGAAAAGACTGCTGCTGAGCTCACAGAAAATATCCTGCAACATCTGGAGGAAGATGGACTAGACATAAGCCTTTGCCGTGGTCAAGGATATGATAATGCTGCAACTATGGCAGGGATTCATGGTGGTGTTCAGGCAAAAATAAAAGAGATTAATCCCAAGGCTTTGTTTATGCCATGTGCTAATAATTCCCTGAACCTATGTGGGGTGCACTCATTTGGAAGTGTTGCTTCCTGTGTGACCTTTTTTGGAACATTGGAGAGAGTGTATTCCTTTTTTTCGGTTTCTACACATCGTTGGGAATTGCTGATGGAAAATGTAGGTGTGACAGTGAAAAGACTTTCCCAAACAAGATGGAGCGCTCATTATGATGCTGTGAAGCCAGTGAGGGCAAATTTTTAAAAACTGACTTCAGACCTTGAAAAATTATGTAATCCCAAAGAAAATGTGGACACGAGGATTGGCTCAGATTTTGCTGTCTGCCGTATGTGATTTTTCTTTTTTGTGTTACCTTTCTTTCTGGTGTGAAGTTCTAGAAGAAGTTAATATAACACAGAAATATTTGCAAACTGTGGGACTCACTCTTGAAAAGTGCATTGTGAAACTACAAGGTTTGAAAGCGTTTCTAGCAGATCAGCGCAGTGAAATTGTGGAGAAGGCCATTTGTTATGCAACCACAACGTGTAAAGAAATGGACATTTCAATGGAAAGAAGAGGGAGAGTAAAGCTCCATAAAACAATGCCAGGAAAGAAGGCAAAGGACCCTCGTCTCATATTGCCAGAGGAAATGAAAAGGGCTATGTTTGAGTGCCGAGTTGGAAATTCGTTCTCAAGCAATTAAAAAAATCCTTTCAATGTTTGCTGTTATTCAGCCATTCTCTCTGGTTGTGGCAACAGAGAAAGATATTCGTAATTATACTCCAAAATTGACTGAGATTTTTGACGAATTCTCTAATGAAGACATCTTTAGGGAAACTGAACGTCTTCAGAGGCATTTGGAAGCTGCCAAGATCAGTGTTGAAGAAGCAAAGAAATGGACGGCATTGCAGTTCCTGGAGTTCATTGTTAAATGGGATTATTGTGAATCTCTGCCAAATTTGTCACTGTGTTTAAGATTCTTTTTGACTCTCTGTGTGTCTATTGCTTCATGTGAAAGAAGTTTTTCCAAATTAAAATTGATAAAAAATGTCTTTCGCTCAACCATGAGTCAGACAAGGTTGACAAATCTGGCTATACTTTCAATTGAGCATGAATATGCAAGGAAGATTGGCTTTGATGACGTAATCAATAAATTTGCAGAAATGAAGGCTCGAAGGCAGCGGATGTGAATCATTGCACATTACCTCTGCCGAATAGACTGAGTGGTGACTTTGGATCTGTGTGTTTTTTTGTTTATAGAAAGCGTATTAACTGTTAAGTAAATGTTAATTATTTAAATTTTATTTATTTCTAAGTTAATTTTTTTTTTCATAGATCCATTTGTTTCAAGTTGATATACAGTTTACAAATTTGTGAAATAAATATTATTGAAAACATTGAAAAAATTGTGGGTGTTTTCTTACATTTTTATTATGGGGGTGGGAGGGGTGCCACACTCTGGGTCCGCCTTGGGTGCCAAATGCTCTAGGTACGCCCCTGACTACATGTCAAAATTCCATGTTGAAAAATGTATATGCGCACCTGCCAAATGTGGCCTTTTAGCCCCCAAACAATCTGACAAGCCTATGCATGGGTGGTATCACTGTACTCAGGAGATGTTGCTGAACACATATTAGTGTGTTTTTTGGCAGCAAGACATAACAGTATCTGTAAGATTATACCTGAATTGCAATGTATGTGAGAAGAAAAAAAAACTACCTATGCGAAGTTTGTCAAAGACTGGTGGTAAAATGGCTGCATAGAAAGTGTCAAAATATCCTTAGATGAATACCCAGGGTTGTCTACTTTAAAAAAAAATATATACATGTGGAGTGTTTTCCAGAGATTTATGACAGATAATAGTGTTACAATGTCACTATTGATAAATTTTAAAAATGTTTGTTTTGAAACCGCCATATCCTTCTTGTACCTATAGCCCTATAACGTGCAAAAAAAAAGCAAGTAAACACTGGGTATTTTTAAACTCAGGACAAAATTTTGAATCAATTTAGCAGTTTTTTTCATTCGCTTTTGTAGATGAGTAAAAGATTTTCCAAGTAAAAAAACTTGTTTTTTTCAATTTTTCATCTTTTTTTTTCATTTTTTTAAAATTAAATTACATTAGATTATATAAATAATGGTATGTAAAGAAAGCCCCTTTTGTCCTGAAAAAAACAATATATAATTTGTATGGGAACAGTAAATGAGAGAGCGGAAAATTACAGCTAAACACAAACACCAGAAAAGTGTAAAAAGAGGCCTGGTTCCAAATGTACAACATCGCAAAAACAGTCCAGTCCTTAAGGGGTTAAAATAAGTGGGATTACCGGAGATTCCAATATTTCGCTTCACTCAGGTGAAATTCAGTTATGGATAATACAAATAGTGCCCAGCAGAAGCCCATATTATGGCCCCATTATTACCCATCAATGCAACGGCACCTAAATGAATCAGTTCATCCATAAAAAAAGATTATTTTCCAGATCGATTAGTTTGGGCATGGAATAAAATAATTTTGATTTGAATTATCCACTCATCAAAAAAAAATTGAACAACTCTAATAGCTATAACATGCATCAGTCTAAATCTATAAACATGTCAGGATTACAGTATGATTCAGCACGTAGAACTATGTAACACAGGAGACGAATAGGTAACATATTCCAGGCCTTAGAATGGCCGGACTCACGTACCAAAGAATAGTCATGAATAGCCAAGGGTAGGGGACACAGAAAGGGACACAATGATAAAGGAAAGCCAGAGGTTATGAATACCAGAAACCAGGGAAGTCAAAATCAATGCCAAAGTCAAATAACCAGAATAACCAGAATACGGAACACGCTCTCGGACAACCACTAGGGAAACCATGACAGGGCAATGAAGGAAGGTACTTTTAGGTTTAAATACCTGCTTTACTATTCTGATTGGCTGAAATCGCTCTTTGCCCCAAAACATGTGCGCATGGTGCACGCGTGACGTCACGTGCACGCCAACATCGTCAATAACGTGAGCGGACGTGGGGTATATTTTGTGTGGATCCGCAGCGGCCAGCGGCCATTAACATGTCGCAAGTGTCAGTCATGCAGATGCATGGCTGCTGGGTGCAGAGACTGCAAGTGGAGGAAGAATATATTACATTACCCCCCACCTGAAGACCGCCGACCGAGCAGGCAGGAGCAGGTGGAAATTTAGCATGAAAACAGCGAATCTTGTGGCCAGCATGCATATCAGATGCCGGGAGCCAGCATGGGCGGCTGGTCCATAACCTTTCCAATCCACCAAGTACTGCAAAGTGCCCCTAGAAAATCTGCAATCAATTATGGAGGAAACCTCATACTCCTCCTGTCCAGAAACAATGAAGGGAGGCGGAGAAACAATCGGGACAGTATATCTATTGCAAACAAGAGGTTTGAGTAAAGACACATGAAAGGTGTTAGGAATTTTCAAGGAGGCTGGAAAGGCCAGAGAGTATGAAACAGGTTTGAGCCTATGAAGGATACGAAAAGACCCAAGGAACCTAGGAGCAAATTTCATCCTAGGGACTTTAACCCCTTAGGGACACATGACATGTGTGGCATGTCATGAGTCCCTTTTTTTCCAGAAGTTTTGTCCTTAAGGGGTTAAGCGTGATGTTGCGTGAAGATAATCAAACCCTCTCACCCACTTGGTAAAAAGGGTTGGCACCTCGCCGTTGATCAGCATAAACGGTCAGCAACAGTCCCCAGGGCGGAGTGAACTTTGACCCAGGTATCACATATGGAAGCAAGACAGTCATCAAAAGCAGGAATAGCCATGTCATAAACAGCCAGGAGGACAGTAAGGTGCTGGCCAGTATTAACAAAAAATGGGCTATGCCCAGAGGAGTCATGGTCAGCATTGTTTCTCGCAAACTCTGCCCATGGTAGTAATTCAGACCAATTGTCTTGAGTGCCATTAACAAAACAACGCAAATATAATTCCAAGACTGGTTAGCTCACTCAGCCATACCATTAGTCTGGGGGTGATAAGAGCATGAAAAAGACAACTCAATCCCCAACTGCTTATTAAAAGCCCTCTAGAACAGAGATACAAACTTAGAGCCTCTGTCAGATACAATATTGCGAGGAATGCCATGCAGACGGACAATCTCACGTAAGATCAGTACCAGGTCTTGTGATGACGGCAATTTCTTGAGTAAGACAAAATGAGCCATTTTAGAAAAACGGTCAACAACCATGAGAATAGTGGTATAACCATTAGAACTAGGAAGTACGACAATGAAATCCATGGACAAGTGGGACCATGGGACCTCAGGAACAGGAAGAGGTTGTGTTGCAGTGTAAGCATGCAGAAGCCAAACACAGAGATATTGGACACAAGTCTTCAGGAAGTAAGAGGCCTTTATTCACATTACCGATCGGGTCTCAGATGAACTCCTGTTCCAAATGATCTGAGAGACCAACACATAGTGTACATTCCTTATATGGCACTATAACTCCTCCCATTAATAGCTACACCCACATATACCTTTAACCAATCAATGAGCAGAATATAGACTTGTACATCTAGTCAAACCACATGGCTCATCCAAGACAAAGGAAATAAGTGCAATTTCAGTTCCTGCATTCCTGCACATGCTCAGTACATTGATGACAGTATCCTAGCTACGTGTAGCTAACTAACTGACACAACATACACATATGCCACATGGAAATCTTGGCCTACTAAATTTTGACCATGCTGGAATCCCATCACATTCCCCCCTTTGATGCCTCTGATATAACATTATTCCAGATGCATCACCAATCACAGTTTTACCTACATCTCTCAAGTAGCCATTGAACCAGAGTAGACCTTGTAAGCATATTAAAAACTCCTTCAACATTCCTCATCCTGAATATATTCTCTTTGGGCTAGGGGATCATATCTTCCAGACAGCCATTACATGGGCAGCTGTCTTTCTCTCCATAGTACTCTCTATAATACTACGTAGGGACCTTACCACTAATGGAATTAGACAAGGCAGAAAAAGACATAAGAATATGATAAACACTACTCCTCCTACTAATGTCTTAATTCCTCCAAGCTGCTCATACCAGCTTCCAAACCAGCTATTAGGATTATACCCATTCCAGACCTGAGTCGGTACATGCACAAATTTAACTATGTGGCTTGTAAGTTCAGCCACTGCCTGCCCTTCATCATCTATGTGCAGACAACAGTTACTTAGATTAAACTTTCCGCATACACCTCCTTCTACTGCTAGTAAGTAATCAAGGGCTAGCCTATTCTGGTATATGGCTGACAGTATCCTGGTATTTTGCTTAGCTAGAAGATTAAGCGCTTGTGCTGTCTCATTAGTGATAATTTCAACTACCGCCTGTAGTCTAATAATGCGGTTGAGCATATATATATCGGAGTTCTATATCCATAAGTGCCATCTTCTGCCCAAGTAGCAGGTCCATGATAATTAATAATACGTTGGGGGGGCCACTCATCATCTTCCCAGCTACCTATATTCAAGGATGCTCTCTCCCTTTTATGATTTACATCGTAAACCTTAACTCCCAAGGTCTCTCCTGTCTCGAATGGCAACAAGAAGAAGGATGGCTTTGGCATACCTAATACACATGCCCCTTCCCAATCTTGTGGTAACTCTGAATAAGCTTTCCTACCACAGATCCAGTATAAATTTGCTGGGGCTTTCCAACTAGATGTAGCCGATAAGTCAAACCATACCTCCTTTAAATGAGTGTAATTGGCAAACGGATTAGTAGGCTCTGAGACATTTGAAGCTGACCACCAAGTAGTATTTTTAGTATTAACATTATAGGCTTTTTGTCCCAAGCAAGTTAGCTCACCTACAGACGTGTTATACATTGTCCCTTTCCTGGCTATACAAGCATGACCTATAATGGAGGTTTTTAAACACCATTCCGATTTACTTCTAGTACTTACTTGATGAACAGACTGGAAAGGTATCTGTTGTTCATATGTCTCAGAGCCAGGGTACCATATTTCCTTTGCCTCCCATGGCCACTGGTCTCCCATATTAGTACCTCCACACACATAGCAATTAGTTACATTAAGACTACCTGCAATACCCTCAGCCAAATCAATAAATAGGTTCTTAACATTATGGGGAATTTTATCCTCAACACTCATCTCCTCATAGAAGGAATGAGAAACCTGATGAGTTTGAGTTGCCACT